TATATTTAATATCCCCTCATGTATATATAGTATTACTATAGTAATTCTTTCCATCTCTCACGAATTACTAATTAAATATTAATATTAAATTTGTATTAAAATATATAATATAACTTTATACATATACATATATTTATATATTTAAAAGATATTTGTGAGATAAGTGGGCCCAAAAAAATAGCCGGTTCAAAAAAATTTAAATTTAAGTAAGCTGGAACAGGCTGCTAATATAGTCGAATTGCAAACCTACGATGTTCCAAATATCATATTTTACAAAAAAAATAACAATGAGGAGCAACTTAATTAAGATGAGAAGGTATAATGGTGGGTGATAATTTACTCGAGTATATATTAATATCTGTATATACAGGTATTTTATTGGTTAAAACTCATTCTCGAGAGACAGCTCAAGATTTTATGGGTGAATCAACTAATTTATGATAACCAAAAATGAGAGACAAGACTATTACCTTATTTCATTTAAGTATAAGAACTTTCACTCGATTGATTTATAATATCATTAGCAAAAATATCTTTTTTTAGCATTGTAGGCGTCAGATCTCTTGGTATTGGAGGCGCCATAATTGCGGGCTGATCACGTTCTTTTTCAAAAGTCCATTTTTGTTTATGACTTTCATGATCCTTGACATGATGTAACAAGACATCAGCACCCTCAAGTTTTTCGATACCAAAGTGACCGCTTACATGCAAAACGTATTCGTTATTATTCAAAGGACAGATAAAACCTTCGGGCAAATAGGCCCAACGTTGGTTTTGTGCTTCACTTAATGGTTTTTGATCAAATTGACATACGTGTGTTCGATGAAACGTGCGAATATGACCTAATTTAAATTAAAGGTTATATATTTTATTATATAATAAAATTAATAAAATTAAACAATAAATCTGGTATAATAATTTACCTCCTTGAATGTCCAAAACTTTTCCTGAAGCTCTGTTAATAATGAATCCATTATCACATTTCCAAAGCTACAGCATAAAAATGAAAATTCAATACTTATTCATTTTGAACAAAAAAATTTTTTATGGATTAAATAAAATTACCTGACTGTCAGCATCAAAACCAAATCTTTGCTTAGAAATAATTATCCTAACGCCAGAATTTACTGAAAGACTCTGAGGTTCAAGGACATGTCCATTAATTTGAGATTTTATATAAAACCATTCTAAATAATAAGATACAATTAATTATATCTATATATGAATATATTTTACTTTAGAAAGACAGTCCATACCATTCTGAGGAAAGCCAAATTCACCAGACATCGTTATATTTTTACCAACTTTATTACTATGATTGGATTTTCCTTTCCGTGACGATGATTTAAAGATAGAGAAAATTTTAAAACAACCACCATTAAATTTAGGCATGATCACTAATTATTTTTGTACGTCAAAAATTATGTGAAACGCAAAAAAAAAACAAATTAGTGATACTTGTGTGAAACACTCGATTAATACAGATGATACAGATGAAAGACACTTTCGTAGAAATTGGTTCAATTTATATAATATTTAGTGATGTAATTTCTAGGGTATATTTTTTAATAATGCATACGAATTAATATACGTAATCATTTATAAAGCGCTTTAAAAATTAACCATTTATTACTTTTCGTACGTATTTGTAATGGATAGCGTCAGGTGGCTGGGAAATAGCCAGGGCGGCCCTCCCAAAGTGCCAGTGACGTAATCACTTCAACAATTAAGTAATACTATATATATTAAATCATCACTTATTGTTAAATATATAGTATTATCTGATTGGTGAAAATGATTACGTCACTGGCACTTTGGGGCCCTGGCTATTTCGGTGGCTGGTGACATTTGGGAAATCGGAACATACACGTGCATTTCATTCGATAGGCACATGCTATATTTTTTTTCTACGTATAATAATAACAGGGATAAAAGGAGATTTAGCATCCGTTAAAGGTAAATGGTGATATTTTAAGTTAAATGAAACAAATAATAGATAGCGCAATGATAATTTACAATGTCTATATTAAGAAAATATCACACGGCGCAAAAAGCATTGATAATGGAAATTTCTGTGCTTTCGGTATATGGCGGAATAGGCGTCCGACCCAAACCTAATTGCTTTTTTATTTTAACATTATTAGAAAATACACAGCTTTGTTTCAATAAATTGTTTAGATGATTCTTTTAATCAATGATTTAACAACGATTCTATTAATAAACTGCCTATGTTTTGGCAAATTTCTGCAGGTTCTACGTACGTACGTAAAAGAATTTTTTTTATTAAGTTTCTATATTTATCTGTTATCAGTTATGGAAAGATGTACGTACATACGTACGAATCATTTCCTTTTACCAAACTCCCTATTTTTAACTCCCAATTAACCCGCTTATTTATGAAAAAATATGTTTACTGTCAGACTGTGCAACCATCCTCGCCAGACCCCTGGAATAGGGGTGTAGCAAGATCATCAACTGGAAACAATATCCTAAACCCTTGCAGGCCAGAAATTATAACCACACTTCCCTTTACGGATGGTGCACTATAACTCATCATCCAGTTTAATTCGTGTGTCTTTGTTGGAAAACAAGGACCGGTGACTGACTATATACAGATCCTGTAGAGTACAGTCGATGAGGAAAATTACCACTAAAAATGTTAGGTATTTATGAAATTGCTTTTATAATTCTAAATTATGGGATTGAAGCGATGATAATTTAATTTGATTGGCTAAAAACGAACAAATGTGTTACGAAAAATTTCAGTTACGTATGTACACATGTTTTTTTTAGGTAACAAATAGATATTTCATCATGTATTTATATATTAATTATATTCCGAGGTTAATACGAATTTTGGATGAGATTATGCGATATAGTTATTTCGCATGTGTAATCTTTCGATTATTTTTTCAGTATGGATATTTGTTTTACAGCGATATCAAAGTTACTTTTTATATATACTTTTTTTTTTTCAAAAAAAGAAAACAACCGCATTTTTAGATATATAGCTCGAAATAGCGGTTATTTCGAATTTTGGCCCGAATTAAGCTTGATGCGGGCCAAAATTAGAAATAACGCTCACGCCCGCTATTTCGATAACAGTACCATGTATAAGAGTGTTACAGAAATGCATCGATAACTTATAACTTTTGCTTATAACTTTAATCAGGCATGCGATTTATTTAAAAATGGTAAAAAAAAAGTACAAATTTGAAAGTTAAACGATGAAATGAATGAATGAATGAATGCAATATATAAGAAAAAAGTGTGAGAAGTAGGGATTCTAAAGAAATTTAAAATGAATGTGTAAAATGAATGTGTAAAATGCAAATGTATAATAAAATATGATGTAAAATGCTAATTAAACATGAATGCGTTTCTGTACAGTGTATGAATTGTAATTTTTTTTTTTTGTCTATAATACGTATGAATGTACAAAATGCAAATAAGTAATTATAAAGATGGTGTAATATATAAATAATAGTTATATATAAATAATAGTTATCATGTTTAATCCATCACTATATATATATGTATATTTTTTGACTTAAGTATTATTATTTCTTAAGATTTTTGACGGTATCAACAACTTCACGTAACATTCTCAAACTTCTCTTATCACCGGACAAAGCTGTATGAAAAGCATTCATACAATATCCAAAACCAATTTTTAATTCTGGATTCCAAAGAAGCATACTACCTCCTGATCCTCCCCATCCAATAAATTCATATTCTTCAACTCCTTTTAATCTGAAATATCCAAATCCTCCAACGGAAGATGTAATATTTGTTTGTAAAACCAAGTCAAAAGCTTCTGGTAATTTAGTCATCACAAGATCATAAGTATTTTTCGATAGAATTGTGGGTTCTAGAACACCAGTTGTTGAACTACTAATAGGTTCACCACCATTAGCCATGATAGCTGCTAATTTAGCCATAGATTTACTATTAGTAACTCCACTATAACTAGGTCCTTCGTAATTTAACATTTCATATCTATTCCAATCTTGTGGTTGACTTTTATCCGGTGCTGTGTCAACAAGTGATTTGTATGATACACTGCCTGTTTTCATCATTTCATCAAAAATAGGTTCTAGCGGTTCGCTAATCATCCATTTTGGTAATAAAATCTTCGCAAGTAATCTGACCATAGGGTATGGATAAATGCTTGCAATTCTTTGATATAAAGATTTTTTTGTTATAGAATAATAAAATTCAATATCATAAACTGGTGCGATTTCTTCTGCCACTATACGACCAATAGTACGGTGTCTCGGATCAACTCGACGAACAATTTCATTCAAATACCAACCACGTGAAACTCCATGATATCCTTTTGTTGGGACTCCGTTAAAATTATGAGGTTGAGATTGAAGAATTTTTGCGAGTGAATCGAGATTTGATAAATCTGATAAGGTCATTTGATGTGAATCGATAAAACCTACACCAGCACGGTGAACTATCAAGTCCAATAATGTAACATTTTCTTTACCACCTTGGGCAAATTCTGGCCAATATTTTGAAATTTTCTCATCATAATTCAAAAGTCCTTGTTCAACAAGGCGCGCAATCACTATTCCACTCTAATTAAAAAAATGAATTTTTTTTTAGTTAAAAAATCTTAAATAAATTAAATAATAATAATGATAGTGATAATACTAACCAAAACTTTGCTACAAGAAAATACGAGTTGTAAAGTTTCTGGATCATAAACTTTACCAGATTCAACATTAGCGACTCCACCTTGTAAATCAACCACCAAATTATTATCATAAAAAACGCTAACACCAGCCCCAATATCTAATCCACTTTTAATATTTTCTTCGAAAATTTTTTTAACACCTGAAAATTCTGGTGTAATAAATCCTGATACCTCAACTGAAGGACAACCAATATTTATCATTTGACATGAAAATGGTAAGAAAGGTCCAGAATTTGAATATCTATAAATCATAAATCCAAAAATTAAATGTAAAATAAAAAATATTTTTAAAATTCGTCGATTTCTTAAGAATTTAGTAGATGAAGTCGAAGGAATTGTAGAGTAATTTTTTGGAATAAATTTTGAAGGTACGGATGTGACTATTGATTTCATAGAAGATTGTGCCATATTTGAAATATTTGTAATGGCGTTGACTAAAGACTCTGGGATCCAGGAAATGGATCGAGGTAAATACGAAGAAAAAGTAATTCTGGAATTTGAAGTTGGGATTTTTTTATGTTTGTTGGAGATCGGTAATAATGGTGTTCTTTCAGTAGAGGTGTTGCTGGATTCAGCTTTCGTCATATACTCCATATCTAGTTCTGTTGATTCTGATGTCATTTTATCGGTTTTCGATGTATGAAATAGCAGATAGATGTAGAGAAAAATTTGGAAGGCGGTGTAGAGTGGATTGCGGACTACTTGTAGCAAGGTTTGGCGCAAAATTTTGAAAAATGAAAGTATTTGAATTTTTTCTTTTTTCGTCAAAATTATGACGAAATGGAATCAGGCCTTTCCCTTGGTGGAAATGGTCAGCGAAATGCGAAGGTCAGTGATGAGAAGAATGAACGCAAAAAGCCCTGTATTTATCTTAAAACGACAGTAACACTATGTTATTATATGAAATATTAAAAATCAAACAAGGTCGGAAAGTTGTTGTTAAATACTTTAATGAAATAATAATGTATATACCGACTTTGTTCAAATTACATGTGCCAATAAATCATCATTCCACGAATTTATTGTTATTTTTACCATACTAGTGGAATTACGCTTACAAACTAGGAATCACCATTGTCTTTGTTCGTAAACGTTCTTTATCGGTGATATTGGTGACACATTTACTCCATCTTTTAATACTGAATAATGTCATCTAACCGTCGAAATGCATGTATAATGTGGCTAAAAACTGTCATAATAGAACCGTATCTGAAAACAAAGACGTTTGTTCCTTTAATTTCTTAATTTGGTCATTTCAATCGCAGTTATACGATTTTGGAAATATTTAATTTACGATCCTTAATAAAATTTTAATTGAAAAAAAAATAACCTAAAAAATTCACCCCTTACTAATTTTATAATCTTTCTTATTATAGAATGAAATATTGCTCAAGTGTTCTATTCACAGAACGTATTTATTATGATAATAAAAAGCATTCTTGGCTTCGCAAAACAAACCCAGGCCTGTTCTTCGGTTCTGCCGGCATTACACCCTATTTGTTATTTATGCCATGCTTAAGCCTACTTTCATATTTTGACTTTCATATGTAACTACGATTATCGACCTTCTATGAAAGATCCAACGACTGATCACTAGTCATTTGAGTCATTTGGGTCATTCCAGGTCATTTACCATCACTGTGGTGATGTTATAAAAGAAATGCGTAAGATGAGTACTGGTGAATAATAAATAAAGTATAGTAGTGGTTATTGAATTATTGAAGCAATCTAGGTTTTAAAAATGTATACTGTGTATATACAACGGTAGTGTTTTTTTGTAAAAAAACGTATAGTATCGTATAGTATAGTAGAATTTATTCTAAGAGGATGTACTACAGTCGTACTCTACACAATGTTAGTTTGGGGATTTTGGGACAGAATAGGTCTAACTATTTCTAGAAAGCTATCTAAGAACCTCTAGAAGCCCAATTTGATTATTTTTAAATAAGTCTAACGGTTTGGAACAAACCGTTAGATTTATTTTGTATCACTAGAAAGGTTTCTATCTGCTCTAGAAGCTTTATTTTAATATT